GGCAGTTATATCTATGTCTTAGCCCACCAAGAACCATGGCTCTAACCATTGTTTAATACTTGGGGTGATCATCAGGATGGTTCCCTGCATGTAGTAGTAGCTCTTGTACAGCTGTGATAGGAGAAGGTTGCCTCTTGAATTGGGCTGCCGTCACTAAACTCCCACAGTGTGCAGCTCTTAAACTGCAGACATTTTCTTTCTAACAGTTCTGGCTCTGGTAGAGCTGGTATCTGGCAAGGGCTGTCTTCCTGCATGTAGATAGCTCTTCACATTGTGTCCTCATGTGGTAGATATAGGAGGAGGCTCTCTGGGGCCTGTTATAAGTACACCTATCCTGTCATGAGGACCCCACCTCTAAACACCGTCACATCAGCACATGAATTTGGGGGGGCACAGTGCATGGCAGGGTGCTTGGCTCAGCTATGTTGTGGGAATTGGGGCCTGGGACAAACTGTGGAGGCACTTTGACTCCGTCTCTGTTTGCATGTCAGGTGGAGCTCATCACCTGGGAGTCCCTCCATGTCTTTGCACAGGTGCACTCTTTGCTGTATTCCTGCTGGGGGCTGGGCTGAGTTGGGATAACGTAGACACAGTCCATGAGATGCTGGGGTTGGAACCAGCAGTGACTTGGAGAAGGTCATTAAAATGTCTCCTGCTGCTTTGGAATATCTCATGTCCTTTCCTTGTTCCTTGGAAGGAGATATTCTTAGGCTGAGGTTTCTGATGAAGACTACATTAAAGAGGACCGCGGTGGCCCGTCACACACAAAAACAGGTTCTCAGAAGCACAGACTTGTTTCCCTAAGTAGATCTGCCTCAAAAGGCATCGATCGATAAACATGCCCAGCTTCTTCTTGAAGCACCGAGAGCTTCATTTTGAACTCCCACAGGTTCACGGAAATGCCGCTGACCTCAGAGTTCAGCTTGGCATGGAGCTAGAGGTTTAATTTTTTATGAGCTTTCTCTTCCTTTCCTCAGAAGAAAAGCTGAGAATGAATGGAGGAGGCTCCCTCAGGGAAGAATTAGCAGTCTGGGAGCCATGGGACAGAGTCACCCGGATGCTCATGGGAGCTGGGGATAGAGTGGCCGAGCTCCCCTTCCAACCTGAGGTCATGCGTGTCACCGTCTGCATCCTAGGGTGTGCATGCCTCTTGGTGGCAGTGATTTGAGAAGCTTGCTGGGGATCCTTGAGGGGACACTACAGGTTAGATGTTGGGGGAAGTGGCCTGCCTCTTGGACAGTGAGTTCAGCCCTTCCTGCTGCTCAGGAGCCTCATGCTGGACTGTCCCTTCTTTGCCTGAGGAACTCCACAGCCTCTGCTGGGCCAGCACCTGAAGCATGCTGCTGCACTTTTGTGCAGTTCTCCATGCTGGTTTTTTATTTTTGTTTTTGTTGGCAGGGTCTTGTCTTGTAGTTCAGGCTGGCCTTGACCTCTCAGTGATCCTCCTGTCTCAGCCTCCAAAGTGTTAGGATTACAGGCTTCTGCCACCACGCCTAGATGCTATTTCCCATCTTATGGACAAGTCCCCTTACCCTGTCTACTGTCAGCCTGTTGTCTACTTGCCTCTACTGTGCGGCAAACCCCTCTCTCTGGGCTCTTCATTCATTTGCGTAGCCTCTTCCCTGTCTGCCCTTCATCCCCTTCACTCCTCTCTGACTTCACTCCTTCTCTCTGGCTGGCTGTGAGGCCTGCTCCCTCTTCCTCGTACTGTGGCTGTGCTCCCCACGGAAAGCCTGCCTGTGACCCACCCTTCTAACAGACCACACATGGTGCCGTTCTCACTCTGTGCCTCCATGCCTCCCATTCTCCTTACTGTACCTCATATGGGTGCTCTTATGTTTGCTTAGTGTCTGTTGTCCATCACTGCCAGCTTTGCAGCCTGAGACCTGCAGCCCACGTCTGTCACCTGACCTGGTGTCTCCATCAGGTGCTGTGGGTACTCGAGGAGGAGGCAGGGCCCTGTCCATTGCTTGTCCCGCCTGTGGGCCTCCCACCTGCTTCTCGTCCCCTGTGCTCGGGTACACGGTCTCTGCGGGCCCTCCACAGACTGGCCTACCTAGGCACCCAGTCCGGTCCCAAGGCTCTGCTGTGTGTTCCCACACCTTCATATCCCCTTCTCTCTGCTTTGTCTCCCCCACCAAGGAGTGGTAGCTGCCTCCTGGAGGTGCTGCCTGTTTGATGTCTTACGCCTAGTGATGGCCCTCACTGTGCCCAGCGTGGCAGCTCTCAGGCTCGTCTCCAGCCCTGTGCTCAGGGTTGGGTCTGCATTTGGCTGCCCTGCCCCCAGTACTGTCCTGCCTGCTGGCGGGTCTCTGGTAGGGCTGTGTTCCTCTGGCTTCCTTTGTTCTTCTCTTCACGGGATGAAAGGTACAGTATTTTGCTCTTGAGTGAATAAAGGTTTTCTTCATAACATGGCAAGTGAACTTCTCTGTCTGAACCCAGTACTTCACCCTTGAAGGTTCATCTTCTGTGGATGCCGAAGAACTCCCAGCTTGCGTCCCTGCTTACAGGAGTGTATTAGTCAGATTTACCTTGCTGGGACCAAGTGCCTGACGTACACAGCTTAAAGAGGGGGTTTATTTTTGCTTATGGTTTCAGGGGATTGAGCTCCATGGCAGAAGCAGCATGGTGGAAGGGTGTGGAGGAGCAGAGCTGCTCACTTCAGTGGCAGGGAAGCAGAGCAGGGGAACAGTGCCAGCAAGAGAGTTGCCCTCCAAAGGCACAGGCCATGACCTATCTGTCTTCTCCACTCAGCACATCTCCTGAGGGCACGTTCAGCTGTGATGAGAATGGATTCATTCACTGATGAGTACAGTTTCCCCATGGCCCAGCCACCTCCCAGGAGTCTCTTAATCCAGTCAAGTTGATAGTTACGCTTGACCATCACAACTTATACCCTTCCAGTACCTTGGATCTGGGTGGAGAGCTGAGATTAGGGCTTCTGGTACTCGTACCCTCCACACCCTGCAGTGGCTGAAGTGTAACTGCAGTGTGTGGCTTAGTTGCCAGCTCAGACCAGAAGCCAGGGTTCCTGGACCGATCTGGCTACCTGGTTCTGTTGCCCTGAACCTAGGTCCTCAAAGCCCAGAAGGATGGCCATTGTAGTGTGACTGTGTATATATATTTGCACCTGCTCTGATGGGAGGGCCCTGCGAGGGGGACGACTCCAGACAGATACAAGGATGTTGTGCCCTGAGACCCAGGGCTCCCTGCCCCCACCCTGTGCTGTGGACAGCTTGTAAGAGAAGCCCCTTCCCCTCAGCCCTGCCTGGTGTAGTGCTGTGCCCAGTCGCCAGCAAGATAGCATTGCTGTGTTCTTGCTCCTCTGTGTGCACGGCTCTTACAATAGCAAAGTGAATGCTGCCATTCTCCTAATTAAATTACCCACTTTGGAGCAGTGATTTAAAGCACTTGTGAACTTACCCACCTGAATTCAATGATTCAAGAGTCGATTTCACAGTTCTTGATTATTAAATTGGTCTATGAATAGTTTTAAATTGAACTGGAACTCAAAATAGCCTCTTAATATGTCTATTTGCAAAGAATAGTTGTACTTGTATTGTATGGTTTTGGTTATGGAGCACCTAGAGGTGTGGTGGCAGTTGGCTGATTCTACGTTTGTGGTTGATGTTAGTGTCAGACTTTCCAAGACCCTCAGTTGAGTGAGAGGTGATGTCTTCGATTCTGGTGTGTGGATCCCAGCATCTGTGTGGCCTTGATGTCTTCTGCCTGGGGCCCTCCAGGATCACCCAGGCTCCTTGCCACAGTTGGGGAACCAGAACCAACACCAGGTTCTTTCTAAAGTTCCATAAGTGATTCACAGTCACTTCCAAATTACAGTTCAGCTAAATTCTGATTTAGAAAAAACTTAGATGACCCCTGAGGAAAGGATTATCTATTGTCCTCAAGGTTTTGTTGAATCTTTTAATCAAAGCAAGTAGAAGCAATTGGATGCCAAGAATGATCTAAGACTCTAGATGCCCTTCATAGCCCCCAGCCCAAATTTCTATATTTTCAAAGCAGCCTTGCTGTTCTCGTCGTCACCTTATACGAATGTTTTAAATATCACCTTAGAGTAGAATCCTAATGCCTGTTTTAGTTTTTGAGGTTCATTTAGGATTTCCTTTCCAGAGAAATGTCTGCCTGATGGGTTGGTCCTGCCCTGCCTCACTCCCTTTATAAGAGCTCTTCCTCTGTGTCCCTCCATGGTCATTCGAGTTGGAGTGGGGTGGAGCTTGGAAAGCCACGTGGACAATGCTAGAGTCTTGTTGTCAGCGGTGCTGGGCAGGGGACCACGCGGAGTGGTGGTCTTGAGAGAAGCAGGGTGGTGGCCATATGCTGAGGGTGGCCTGTGAATGGTCAGCAGCCTCTGATAGGAAGGATCCAGCCACCTCTGCTGTCTCAAGAGACTTGGTGGTGGAGGATGGCCCTGTGAGGGCTATTAGGTGGCCATCCTGGTGTTGTAGGTGAGACTCAGGCAGAGGCTGTGGGAGCACAGAGGGAGAAGGGATATTGGAAAAGGAGATGGACAGAAATGACAGGTGGGAGGGTGCTCAGTTCAGCTGCATGCCCACGGTCTGTCCTGTGCCACAGCCCCAGGACCTGTGTGTGGCTGGGTTCTCACTTTGCAGCGCCTCTCCTGCCCGCCAGTGAAGGCGGCACAGCCCCCATGCTGCACATCTGTGCTGACTGTGATTCACACGGGAAGTGCTTGCGCTGGCAATTTAGCTCATTCAGAAGCCCTGTCCCGAAACGCTGTGTGGTTGACAATTTTTCCCATTGTGTGTGGAGTTGAGCTTCCCTCCACCTCCCGCTGTGTGCTGGGATCACCCTGGGTGTCTATTTGAAATCCAGAAACTCCTGAAAGGCGCTAAGTAGCTATTCAGGAGTGAGGAAACGGCAGGGAGGTGGGCACACGTGCAGCTCTATTTTAGGACGTCCTGACCCTGGGGACAGTGTGCCAGGCCTCACTGCTCTGCCCCCTTGCTTTCTCTGTGCAGTGCCCGGGGGCTGGAGAAGGCCCAACAGCAGCTGCAGGAGGAGGTGCGGCAGATCAGTGGCCAGCTCCTGGAGGAGAGGAAGAAGCGGGAGAACCACGAGGCACTCGCCCGAAGGCTACAGAAGCGTGTCTTGCTGCTAACCAAGGTATGGGCTCCTGGAGAGGCAGCCAGGCTGTCCCTGCCTGGTCCACACCTGTTCTTTTCTCTGTGACATCTCACCTCTGCCCCAGCGTCTACACAGCCAAATGTCATTTGTCACCTGCTGATGATGGTCTGCATGTTCACATCTTGGGCAGAGTTGTGTATAACTTCCTGGAAGCCATGACCAGGGGCAGCACGAGTGGTCCCCCAGCCCCATGCACTTGGCAGTTTGCTTAGACTGTGCTTTCTTGTCCTCGAACACCACTCAGAGTTCATCTCATCCAATGTTCTTGGTGGATTCCACTTTTCTTGATACCTGTCTAATATCCAGTGACCCGGCCTATTGCCCTCTGCAGACTGTACCTCTGGCAGTACAGTCAACACTCTTTAAGACCTAGCAGGTGGGCAGTTGTCCTGTCCTTTACTGCCAGAAAGTGCAGAGGAAGCTGGACTGGCTCTGGTCTAGGGTGTGAAAGAGAGTGGTCACTTGTTTGCAGGTGCCATGGGGACCATTCTGATGGCCATTTTTACTTGATTGTTCTGTCCGAAGGGGTTCTGATGTCAGCACATTAAGCCAAGGTTGCAGACATGAATGGTTTTTGGTGTCACTTAAAAGGTCGCTTGAGTTAGGTGATAATCCTAGCACTCTGGGAGACTGAGGCAGGAAGATCACAAGTTCTAGCCCAGCCTGAGCTACTTAGTGACTTAGTAGACTTTGTAACCCCACCACCAACACCAAAAAAAAAAGAGCTGGGATATATCTCAGTGTGAAGCTCTGGATTCAGTCCCCAGTACTGAGGAGGCGGGGGGAAATGCATGGGCACTGAAATTTCAGAAGACAAGAGCCAGGTCTTTCCTCAAGTGGTCTCTAGGCAAGGGCGGGAAGTCCAGCTTGCTGGACAGGGCCTCCCTGTCTGTGTTCACCCTAATGTTGAGTGATCAGAGGAGGCTGTGTTGTCTTCCCTTCTCCCGGGAAGATGGTACAGCTGAGAAGTAACTGGAGCTGTGTCCATGAACATATGCCTGCTCTTGGTCCTATCTGGTGCAAACTGGGGACTGTTTTGCTACTGGAACCTCCTGGTGAATAAGTTTTTAGGGAATGAATTATGTTTCATCTGCATGCTGCTGTTTCACGGCTACCTCTGTACATTCTTGACAGAATCTTGCTGTCTCTTAAAGGAAACTTTGAATCATTTTGGTGTCACACTGGTCTTCCTGGGACCTGGGTGGGGCTGACCATTTCTACAGCCCCAGAGAGGCGAGGTTCCCAAAGTGTCCTCGTGTAGCTCAACCTAAGTCTGCACCTTGGCAGAGAAGGTACTTGCCCTTGGCTGTGGCTTCTTCTGCTGGACTTACAGGGTGAGACTCTGGGGCTCCCATCTTCCCTTCTTCCCCAGACGCCCATCAAGTGGCTGCCCATGTCAACAAGGTGCTCCAAATGTGTTTATACACATGGTCCTTATAGGATCGACAGTCCAGGGGGAAGAGGCAGCAGCAGCACTCAACTGCACACACTTGCCAGCCATGACAGAGAAGAGACAAGTGGTACCGTGGTGACATGGAAGTTGTTGTCTGAGGTCAGGCTTAAGCAAAGAGTTGAAGGATTTGCTGTCTGTGGGAGCCTGTGTGGACAATTGGTACTCTTCTGTGCAGAACCATGACTGGGAGAGGGAATTTTTCGTAGAGCTGCTGGTGTCAATGTGCAGACATGTGGAAGCAGGCTGAGAAGGTGCCTGGCCTAGCAGCCATGGCATGCACTCCACATGGCTCCCTGCGGTGGTGGCGGAGGATCCACAGTGTGAGACACCCAAGGTCATGCTGGAACCAGGGCCTTGCCAGTCAGATGAAGATAAGACTGTGAGGCTGGGTGGTGGGTGCCTGGACCATGTGAACCTCATGTGGAGGCTGTGCTGCCTTCCCGTGGCCCGGTGCTGACTTTGCCCTATGAGCCCACAGCCACCACTCAGTAGTTTCCCAGCTCAGTAGGCTGGCTCCGGTCCCTGAGAATGTGGTGATGGTGCTCGGCCATGGCGGTTCAGTGCATCAGCTTATTGGTTCCTATTTGAGCCATGCTGTCAGGACATCATGCAGAACATCCCACAACCAGGTCCATACCCACTGTGGAGGAAGGCCTTGTACCACCTGTGCCCCGGAGATGTGGCTTCATGTGTGCCAGCTGGGAAGGAATGGAGTAGTCATAAGAGGCTTCCGGGAAGTGGTGGGTGGCCGTGAGTTTAGCAGTGGTTGTGTAGCCCTCTTGGGAGAAGGGGCAGCTTCAGACAAGGTGTGCCCAGCTGGCAGACTGGAGTACCTGGACTGGGTAGCTTGTAAACATCCCATTATTAACTTACATTTGTGAGGTACATTTGATAAAATTAATAAATCAGTGTTGGCTTATTAACAAAAATCAGTACTTTCTTCAGAGTTTATTAGTTTTTATGAAATACCTTTTTTCTCTGCTAGGATCTGCCTTTCCTACTGCATGACTTTGGTAACCCCGTCTCCTCAGGCACCTCTTGACTGACAGTGTCTCACACTTTGTTTCTGATGACCTTGGCACTTTTGAGGAATTTTCCCGTTTTTAGATTTACCTGATGCTTTTCTTACGATTACTTGAGGTTGTAGGTTGAGGAGGAGGTCTGTGAAGGAAAATCCTCCTCTCATCATGTCATATGAAAAGGCCATACCGTGACCTACCATGACTGTTGCTGACCTTGGGCACCTGGCTGTGGTCTTGTTTGCAAGGTTTCTCCACTGTGAAGTCTTTGTTTCCCAATTTCCATGTGAGCTTTTCTTTTTTTTTTTAAATTACCCAATTCCAAGATTTATTATGAAATTATAGTGATATTTTTGTTTTATTTTGCTTTTTTTTTGAGACAGGGTCTTGTTGTATAGCTCAGGATGGCTTCAAACTCATGGTAATCCTCCTGCCTCAGCCTTCTGAGTACTGGAATTATAGGCATGTGCCATCACACTTGGCAAAAAATGTCCTCTTCTGAAGCTGCCCATACCTGATGGGTGGGGAGGTAGCACCTCTCCCTGGGGGCAGTGTCTCTACATAAATTATATGGGATTCTTTAGCATGGGTGGCTTGTCTCTTCTCCCCATTTCTTTATATCTGATGGGCTGTGGGTATTTATCTTAGGTTATAGCCTTTAATTGAGCACTACTTGATTTTATGGTTGTGACTTTAGGGCTCTTTCAGTGCAATCCTGGGTCCTTTTCCTGTGTCCCTGTCATTATGGTTTTATGTGTGTGTGAGGTGCATTTGTTCTGAGCACTGCTCCTGCATGATGCTCCAGGCTCACTTGTGTCTTTCCTGCCTAAGGCCTACAGTGAGCTGTTTCTCCAGGCTCTGTGGTTCCTTTTGTACAGAGTGATGGGTCAAAACAGGTGTCTTGCTGTCTGGTGCTGTTGGTCCAGGCCTTCTTGGCCCATGAGACCTGGGAGATATGTGTGCACACTACCTTGTGTGCATGAGCATCTGTGCCTCTGTGGGATGTCTGCATCACACTCATCAAAGTTCACAGAGGTCCTTGCTTGGATTCAGCCCCCCAAGGGCCACTGACCCCACCCTAGCAGTGAGAAGTCTGGCTTCCCCCATGCGTTGCCTAGGTATAAACCTATATCAGCATTCACACTGGTCACCTCAGCTGAGGAGTTTTTAGTTTAATTCTGGAATGCAAGCTCCCAGGAAGTTCAGAGGTTTCCTGTACCACTCTTTGTCCCTGGTTGGTTTTACATGGCTACATATGCTTCTTGACATGCAAGGAGTCATATTCCTGTAAAGCCGTCACAAGGAAGTGCACACAGTACACCGAAGCTGCTGCCTGTCGCAGTCATCCCACCAGCCTGAAGCATGTCCAAAACTGTGGTAGCTGCAGTTGAGCAGGCTTGTCCATCTCAGAGCCTGTTCCCTACTGGAACGTTTACTCCCTCATGCACTCTCTAGAGGACTCTACTGAAAGTGCAGATTGGTGTGGTCATGGGAGGCAAAAAATGAGTAGTCCTGACTATGTACGTAGGTCGAGGTCAGTCCTCACAGCAGAGCAACATCAAAACTGGGAGTTTAGTGTTAGCACCATGTGTGCTCTGTGCTCCACTGTGAGTCACCACTGCAAGTACAGATAGGCACAGGCCATCAGCACCTTGGGCTGCCGCCCTCTGTGTTCTCTCCCACTCTTCCCACAATACCTGAGATGCCATCTGTTTGCTGTTTCTGAAGCACTCTCATTTCAACAATGACATATGAGTGAACTCATAAGAGTGTATAACCTTCTGAGATTGGCTTTCTTCATGTGGCATGGTGCCCTCAAGACCCACCAGGTTACAGCGTGTGTCTGTAGCATGTTCCTTTGTAACAGCTGAGTGGCATCCCACAGTGGGATTGGCCTGTGTCCTGGTTGGTACCAAGGAATGGCAGGGACACCTCATGGTGTTTGCCATCACTGGTGTGGGCTGTCTGCACTGTCTCCGTGTTATGGTTGTAGAGACACAGCTGTGCCTAGTAGGGTGGGTGGTGACACCATCTTGCAGGCTGTGGCTTGCTGAGGATGCTGTAGGACTTTGTTCAGGACACCACCTGGGAGCTAGAGCAAGCTCTTGGGAAGGCTGGGTGGCCCCTTTCACACCTTGCCTTGCCTGTGCTTGCAGACTGAAGACTTCTTGTTGGATTGTTAAAAGAAGACACCTAGAGTCCCAGTTCCTCTTCAGGCAGGAGTTCCTGTCACTGGGGGCTGGATGCTGTGGGATGGTACCACTGTTCCTCAGGCTTGGGTATTCGCTCTCTGTCACTAGAGTGTCACCACCTGGACTTTGCAGACCTCCTACAAGGGTGTGGTTCATTTTTGAGGTGGACTGGATCAGGATGTAGGTTCAGCCCCTGATGGACACACACCTGGGCTGGACTCTTGTTTCTGAGTTCACTGGGCTTGATATGATTTTATTTCTTGGTTGTAAGTCTGAAGTTCTGTGTCCTTGCTCCTGGAGTACACCCATATACCC